ATTTTATTTATTTTATTTTTCCCCCCAAAGCCCCAGTGGATAGTTGTGTGTCGTAGCTGCACATCCTTCCAGTTGCTGTATGGGGGACTCGGCCTCAGGATGAACGGAGAAGTGGTGCCTTGATGCGCACCCGGGATCCAAACCCGGGCCACCAGCATCGCAGCGCGTGCACTTAACCACCAAGCCACAGGGCCGGCCCCTTGTTTTATTTTTAATTGTGGTAAAATACACAGAACATAAAATATACCATCTTAAATTTCTAAGTGTACAGTTCATTAGTGTTAAATATATTCACATTGTTGTGCAGCCGATATCCAGAACTTTTTAATCTTGTAAAACTGAAACTCTGTACCAATTAAACAACTCCCCATGTCCCCCTCACTCTAGCCCTGACAACTATCATTCTATTTTCTGTTTCTATGAAATTGACTACTCTAGATACCTCATAAAAGTGGAATCATAGAGTATTTGTGTTTTTTAAAATATCTGATTGTTGCTTAATGATTTTTTGTTTCACCATTTTAACCAATTTTAAGTGTGCAATTCAGTGACATAAGGTACATTCACATTGTTGTAATACAGCCATCACTGCTATCCATCCACAGAACATTTTCCATCTTGCAAAACTGAAACTCTGTACCCATTAAACAATGGCTCTCCATACTTTTCACCCTCTAGCCCCTGGCAACCACCGGTCTGCTTTCTGTTTCATGAATTTGACAACTCTAAATACCTCATATGAGGAAATCATATAGTATTTGTCTTTTTGTGACTATCTTATTTCATTTAGCATAATGTCTTCAAGGTTGATCCATGTTGTAGCATGTGTCAGATTTTCCTTCCTTTTGAAGGCTGCACAGTATTCCATTTTATTTGTATACCACATTTTGTTTATCCATTTATTTGTCGATGTATACTTGGATTGCTTGCACCCTTTGGCTATTGTGAATAGATGCTGCTATGAACATGAGTATACAAATATCTCTATGAGACTTGTGTTCAGTTTTTTTGAGTGTATACCTAGAAGTCAAACTGCTGGATTATACAATAATTCTATTTTTAATATTTTAAATAACTGCCATACTGTTTTCCATAATAGCTGCACCATTTTACATTCCCACAAGCACTTTGTGAGGGTTCCAGTTTCTCCACATCTTCGTCAACACTTGTTATTTTCTGGTTTTTTGATGATAGCCATCTTAATAGGTGTGAAATGGTATCTCATTGTGGTTTTGTTTTGCATTTCCCTAATGATGGGTGATGTTGAGCATCTTTTCATGTGCTTATTGGCCATTTGTAATCTTAATTGGAGAAATATCAATTCAAAATTCTTTCCCCATTTTTGAATTGGGTTGTTTCTTCTTTCATGTTGAGTTTTAGGAGTCTTCTGTATGTTCTGGATCTTAACCCATTATCAGCTATATAATTTGCAAATATTTTCTCCCATTCTGTAAGTTGCCTTTTCACTCTCGATAGTGTCCTTTGACGCACAAAAATTTTTAATTTTGAAGTCCAGTTTGTCTATTTTCCTTTTGTTCCCTGTGCCTTTGGTGTCATATCCAAGAAATTGCTGTCAAATCCAATGTCATGAAGCTTTTTCCTTATGTTTTCTTCTAAGAGTTTTATACTTTTATCTCTTATGTTTAGGTGTTAGATCCATTTTGAATTAATTTTTGTGTGTGGTGGAAAGTAAGGATCCACCTTTATTTTTTTTTTGTGGATATCCAGTTTTCCTGGCACCAATTGTTGAAAAGCTTGTCCTTACCCATTGAACAGTCTTGGCCCTCTTGTTGAAAATCATTTGACCACATACTGGAGGGTTTATTTCTGGGTTCTCTATTCCCATGGGTCTATGTGTCTTTGTTTATGCCAGTATTACACTGTTTTGATTACTGTAGCTTTGTAGTAAGTTTTGAAATCAGGAAGTGTGAGACCTCCAACTTTGTTCTTCAAGGTTGTTTAGGCCATTTAGGGTCTCTTGGGATTCCATATGAATTTTAGGATGGATTTTTCTTTTTCTTTTTTTTCATTTATTTATTTTATTTTATTTTTTGTTTGTTTATGGCAGTAACATTGGTTTATAACATTGTATAAATTTCAGGTGTACATCATTGTACTTGTGTTTCTGCATGGATTACATCATGTTCTCATGTTCACCACCCAAATACTAATTCCAGTCCATCACCACACACATGTGCCTAATCATCCCTTTCGCCATCCTCCCTCCCTGCTTCCCATGGTAACCACCAACAATCTCTGTCTCTATGTGTTTGTTTGTTGTTGTTATTATCTACTACTTAATGAGTGAGATCATATGGTATTTGACCTTCTCCCTCTGACTTATTTCACTTTGCATAATACCCTCAGTGTCCATCCATGTTGTCACAAATGGCTGGATTTCATCGTTTCTTATGGCTGAGTAGTATTCCATCGTGTATATATACCACATCTTCTTTATCCAGTCATCCCTTGATGGGGACTTAAGTTGCTTCCAAGTCTTGGCCATTGTGAATAACGCTGCAGTGAACACAGGGGTGCATGTATCTTTGCGCACTGGTGTTTTCACGTTGTTTGGATAAATACCCAGCAGTGGAATAGCTGGATCGTGTGGTAGTTCTATCCTTAGTTTTTGAGGAATCTCCATACTGTTTTTCATAGTGGCTGCACCAGTTTGTGCTCCCACCAGCAGTGTATGAGAGTTCCCTTCTCTCCACATCCTCTCCAACACTTGTTGTTTCCTGTCTTGTTAATTATAGCCATTCTGACGGGTGTGAGGTATATCTCATTGTAGTTTTGATTTGCATTTCCCTGATAGTTAATGAAGTTGAACATCTTTTCATGTGCCTGTTGGCCATCTGTATATCTTCTTTGGAGAAATGTCTGTTCAGGTCTTTTGCCCAGTTTTTAATTGGGTTGTTAGTTTTTTTGTTGTTGAGATGTATGAGTTCTTTATATATATATTTTGGAGATTAACCCTTATCAGATATATTGCTTGCAAATATCTTCTCCCAATTGTTAGCTTGTCTTTTCATTTCGTTGACGGTTTCCTTTGCTGTGCAGAAGCTTTTTAGTTTGATGTAGTCCCCTTTGTTTATTTTTTCTATTGTTTTTCTTGCCTGGTCAGACATGGTGCTTGAAAATATGTTGCTAAGACTGATGTCGAAGAGCATACTGCCTGTGTTTTCTTCTAGAAGTTTCAGTTTCAGGTCTTACATTCCAGTCTTTAATCCATTTTGAGTTAATTTTTGTGTATGGTATAAGGTAATGGTCTACTCTCACTTTTTCGCATGTGGCCGTCCAGTTTTCCCAGCATCATTTGTTGAAGAGACTTTCCTTTCTCCATTGTAGGTTCTTGGCTCCTTTGTCAAAGATTAGCTGTCCATAGGATGGATTTTTCAATTTCTGCAAAGAATGCTATTGGGGTTTTGATGGGGATTGCATTGAATCTTTAGATTATTTTGGATAGTACTGACATCTTAACAATGTTAGATCTTCCAATCCATGAAAACTGGATAGTTTCTATTTATTTGTGTCTTTAATTTCTTTCACAATGTTTTGTAGTTTTCAGTATATGAGTCTTTCACCTCCTTGGTTAAGTTTAGTCCTTAAGTATTTTATTCTTTTCAATGCTATTGTAAATGGAATTGCTTTCTTAATTTCTTTTTTAGATTATTCATTGTTAGTGTATAGAAACACAACTCTTGTGTGTTAATTTTGTGTCCTGTAACTTTGCTAAAA